AGAATTATGATTGCATGAACTTATTCCATGTGAAATCCACATGGATTCCATGGATTCCGCATGGATTCCATCTGAAAAATGTAGAAGAAAGATGAAATCCATGTGTATAAAGTATGGAACCCATCATCCATTCCATGGAGTCCATCCCCCAAAGGTATGGAGTCCATCCCCCAAAAGTATGGAATCCATCCCCAAAAAATACGGAGTCCATCCCCCAAAAGTATGGAGTCCATCCCCAGAAAGTATGGACTCCATATGGAATCCATCCCAGGAAGTATGGAGTCCATCCCCAGGAAATGTGGAGTCCATCAGCCTATCCATGGAGTCCATCCCCAGAAAGCATGGAGTCCATTAGCCTATCCATGGAGTCCATCCCCAGACAGTATGGAGAAGTATGGAGTCCATCAGCCTATCCATGGAGTCCATCCCCAGAAAGCATGGAGTCCATTAGCCTATCCATGGAGTCCAACCCCAGACAGTATGGAGAAGCATGGAGTCCATTAGCCTATCCATGGAGTCCATCCCCAGACAGTATGGAGAAGTATGGAGTCCATTAGCCTATCCATGGAGTCCATCTGGAATTTCTGGAATCCACCCCCTCTTCCATGCATTCCATATGGATTAAGCCGGGGAGGGTAAAGTACTGACGACGACGACGAGGAAGTGATTCCACAACCAACGACCAGAAAAAGCACCAGAAACACAAGTATGGATCCGAGGCTTTGGAAGGGCCCCGTGGCGCCTGTCAATGCTGTCGTCGATACCATCAACATCAACATCAACACTTTGACATCTCCATTGAAGGCTTCTGCTTTGCCATCTCCGCCGACCCCTCATTCCTTGCCATCCCTCCCAGTCGATCCCCTCGTCATCTCGGCCCCCCCTCCCTCCACGGTCAGTGGCTCGGTATTGGCCACTAATCCTCCACCACCGCCTTCATCTGACGAGAGCCCCTTGTCTGTTATCGGTGCACAGGATGATTCTTGGCCTTCTTGGTTCACAGATGCCCACCGACTCCTTTCCAGCCAGGATTTAGGCCGAGAGTATACGTCGCTCATCAATAAATTCACGGAGCTTGAGAAGCGCACCGCATTCACACCAGGTGGACGCTCAGCGGGATTCGGGTCAGACAACAGACCGCCGGAGGTCCATTATTGGATTTCTCGAGGACGCGCGATTCAACCCAAGATCTCAAACATCGCAGACTTCAAAGACAGTTGGTGGAGGTGGTGGAAGGGTTTACAACCAACATGGAGGGCTGTGTCTGAGGTGGAAGGCCTGCTCGATCGAACTCATCGCCCAGTCTCGATGGGTGGTCACGATTGGTCCACAATCAACAAACACGGCCGCAATGCATTCTTCTCCGTTCTGGCGACTCTCTTGTGGTGGGGTGCAGCATCTACGAAGCCACCAATTGAAGATTCGAGCTGGATGGCCGCCGTTGAAGACGTGGGGTGGGTGCTCGATGGGCTATTGGGTGTCCAGTAAGTTCGTTTTCAGAAATCAGCATCCCTTGGTCATAATATCCTTCCTGTAGCACGCCGCCTGCTCCAACTTCTAAGCCATCAAGGTCACGTCGACGCTAGGTAAACGCTAGGCCCGTTTGGATCTTTCGACGACCTACCTTCCTTCGTCGCGTCGCTTTCTCATGAACATCGTCGGACTTACATATTTTTTTGGGCACGCATACTTGCACTATCGTTGAGTTATTTGGACTCTCATATTCTTTCATATCTCGTGTCTTTGGGCACTCCTGTATTTCTTGGACTCTCGCGTACTGAATCTCTTGTAACTAAATTTCGTGTGCTAAATTTTCTCTGGTGTACTTAGCTTGTTAAATTTCTGCGTACTTTATCTTGTCTTTCTTGTTGTTACTTATCTTGTCTTTCTTGTTGTACTTATATATTTATTGTTCTTGGTATGAAACCCATATGCCCGGCGCCAGTTCGTCCAAACGAACTTCAGCGTTTGGCGTGGTTGCTCGTGCACGTGATGTTGAGACTCGTCGTTTCGTTCGTGTAGACTCGTCGTTCGCGTCGCTTCGTTGCCATACTATGCTTGGTATGAAACTCGTCCGCCCGGCGCCAGTTCGTCCAAATGAACTTCAGCATTTGGCGTGGTTCCTCGTGCACGTGATGTTGATACTCGTCGTTTCGTTCGTGTACTTACTCGTCATTTCGCATCGCTTCGTTGCCATACTATACCACGTTGTGCACTAACTACCCATTGGAATGTCCGCTGAAATGGGGGACAAAGGCACGAAAGTGAAACAAAAAAAAGACATCGGGGATGGTAAAGGAATTTAGTAGAATGGTTTATAAAAAAATAAAATAGTGACATACCAAAAAAAAAAAGACATATGAGGGCAGAAAATACAGAAATATGGAAGGATAGATGAGGAAGACATATCTGGAGGGATTCTGACAGATGTATCCATGATTTTGATGGGTGGGGAGGACAATTGATGGGATGATGGAATACAGGCCAAAAATAGAGGTGGCAAAACGCCAAAAACAAAGGCAGCAAAACATCTCAAAACATGTATTGATGGCAAATTCAAGCAGAGAACATATATGCATGGTTTCGGATGATGGAAATGGTTTCCAAGGAATCATTTTGGTCAAAGAAGCTGAGGAAACTAAAAATAGCCACATGGAATGATGTATTGATGGCTAAACCCTATGGAAAACATTTCTCCAACATGAAATACATATAAAACCCAACCTAGGGTTATTTTATCCACATGGAATCAAAACAGAACAGTTTTTTTCGAAAATTCTGGGCATTTATTATGAGAAAATTGAGTGTGGAACATTCTTGCTTTTTGGAAAGTGGTTGAATGCAGGCCCTATGCAATAGCATCTTGTGCTCAAGTCCATAGGGATTTGGTCAATTCTTACAGCTAGGGCTGCTGAGCTCTGGACCACGCTTACTTATGATGTCGCTTGCCAGTACTCCATCAATTTCGTGAAACGTATGAAAAGCTATTTTGGGCATCTTGTCGACATTGCTTCCAAAATTGATGTGTATGTCCCATCTATGCATCTTCTCACACACAAGGAAGACTGCCAATTTCGTTATGCACTTGCATATGCAGAAGGCGTTGGGAGGACACATGGAGAAACAGTTGAACATCCATGGTCGGAGGGAAATCAAGCAGGTGGAAGTACACAGGAGATGAATGCAGGACATCATCATGACACGCTTGATGAATTCCATGGCTTCTGGAATTGGATGAAAATTCAGAAAATGGGTAAGTCATCCATACTTGACATGCCAGATGTATCTTTTGGTTTGTTTTTATACAATCAGGTGATTACCTATGTGGCCGACTTGTTGAAGAGTATAGGGAACTCAGGGAAGTCACTGAAAATTTTGATCTTGCAAACGAGGCAATTTCTGAGGAGCTCCGCTCAGAATGGGCAAAGCTATCCACCCAACCAATGCAGGGTGCAAAAAAACAATTGCAGAGTGTATTCCGCTATAAATCTGGAAAATGTAAGTGGCAGACTAAATCTGACGACTGTTTACTTACTACTTCTTCAAATTATCATAGTTCCGACACATAGCCAAGCGACGGAATCTTTGATAGACTGTGAGGTGAGCGCCACAAAGGCAGAGGTTGGAGAAGTATCACTTTCCACTGCGACCAACTCTATAAAGCAAGGCAGCACTGCATTTATTAACGGTGGAATCACTTTGTTGCTTCGTCAGTAAGTTGATCAATTTTTACCCAATGTTTTCCCTCATGAACTTTGTACAAGACGAAACATCCTTCTCCGACAGGAAGAACTGAGGGAGAATGATGCAATTCTTACAAAATCGACAAAGAAGACCATGTGATCGTCAATTGAAGCATTGCGTTGCTCTTTGCGTGGTGAGATCAACAAATGGCGAAATGTTCAAGTGGCATACATGCCGACATTGTCCACTAGTGATGAACCGGAACTCGCTGAGAATCCTGAGGATCAAGATTTGGGACTACCTTCTGACTTTGACCAGGGGGATCGGGAACGACTTTGTCTTGACTCGTTTGCCCAGATCGAAAAGTCCCTGCTTGAGGGGCTGGCCCATGATGCCTTGGCAGCTGTTCGTGAACACATCAAGCACAAAAAGGCCTACCTCCAACTGAAGGATGAGGTTATCCGCAATCAGGGAGCGAACACACGTGCACAGGGAATTCTCAAGTGTGCACAAAATCTTATGCTCACGCATGCGAATCGGTACAATTTCATTCGCGAACGACTTCTCCTACTTGGGCTCTCTGCCAATGACAGCACCTTTCGGCCCCTGTCAACGAAAGACGATCTTTGGATGTATAGCTTCAACACTTCACATACCCGTCGTTCTGAAGGTTTGGAACCATGGTATTGGACCATGCGACCAGTTGGTAATGCCACAGACAAGGAAATGCAGGAATGGATGCTCGAAGGTTCGTTTTATGTTCTGATTGATTTACATGTGGCTCACCTAGATTCTCAGTGGATCATGTCCGATGGTTTCGTCAACGAGCCTTGCATGATCGTCACCATGAGGAAGTCAACATTTTGAAGGAAGAATTTGAACGAACCCTCCGATCTTTTGCTGCCATGTCAAGAGCATGGTCTCAAACCATCCAGGTATCAGAAGAACAATCTATTTTGGGTGCCAATGCGTATGCTGCAAAAATTTCAGCCGTGTATCAGGAGATGCATGAAAGGTGCAAACAGTCATATTTATTAGCAATCGGTGAACAACCGAACTGAAGTGGGCTTCACCATTCATAATACATACAATTTATATATGACGTTGCATAGCTACACATACGGAAGCTGGTGTTGAATTAAGAGGAGGGCTGTATCATGGTTTGCAACTGGAGATTCGTCAGTGTGAGTTGCAACAAGTGATATGGACCTTACATTGGTTAAAGAACATGTGGACGTGATTGTCCTTTCCAGCTGTCATGCGCCAAATTTCCCTTGCGATTCCGAATACACACGTCGGCCCCAGCACTGCCAGCTCAATCAAGTGGAGGTCCTTCTGGGATGCAGCTTCATGTAGTAGAGACCTGCTGGTGTCGTTGGCAAGGTAGGACAAGTCGGCGAAAGATATCGGAGAGGCTCTTTGTATCTACGTGTTGTTACTCATTGTTGTCAACGGAGTCCTCAAGAGGTGCACAACACCTCGCGCACCCACTCTTCTGCTTGAAGAAGGTTAGTTAATGTTTGTAGCTCTGATGGTCAAGGTGTGCACTTACACCTTGTCTCAGCAAGAGGCCGCCCTTTCCTTTCGAGGTTTTGGCCCCACGGCCGGTATACACGACTGTAGCTTCAAGCCACATAGTGAATCATTCGGCATGTTTGTCAAGTGGAGGACAGCGGCGCAAAGATCTGTTGAAGTCGGTCATGTAATGTAAACCTATGGAGGCGTACTGACATACCTTCATCGTTCAGCGTGTCCACCTCGCCATAATGTATGTGTCTGTTCCCTGCACTCCTGAGTCCTTTCGGCGGCGTCTACATGTTGAATTGCTCGTGTATGTGTTATTGTTCCCTTGTTTGTTTCGCGTGTCAGTTTGGCTTGTTGCAGCTAGTAAAACGGTACTCACTGGAGATGGTGAAGCTGGTCGTGCTGAAGGGCTGTCATCGAAACTCCCACACCTGTGCCGAAGCAAACACCCACGAAGGGACTCGGCAATACCAGAGTGCCTGTCGCACGGTGCTGAAGCCCCAGCGAAGCCAGGAGAGTAACAAGTGGAGTCAACCTGGAGTCAACAATATTTGTAACGATTTCTCTGTCACGTGCTTCCGATCTACCCCGTGCAGGCTATGTTAAAAGTTAAGCTGAGATGCGACACTTATAAGTATGATTTCAACTTATGAAGTACCGTGTCTATTTAAGTTCGTATTACCATGAAGTGCTGTGTACAATGAAGTTTTTTCAGGTATCAAGGGAGCCCCGTCTGTTTGGAATATTTTCCTGCTTGGATGGGACCATCTCTTGTGAGGCTTAAAGTGCCATCTAACCATGAATCCTGGTCTCTGTTGAATATCGGACAGGCGCCACATAGCTCCATTTTTCTTCCCACTTATCAAGAATATTTCGTGTAATGTGAATATTTGTGGCCATCTAATAAGCGGTGTAAATAATATTTTGATCTGAAAAAGGGGTGAATATATGCGCAAGTCGTTCACGTTTAATTCTCCATAGACAACAAGGTGCACACCATGATGAAAAAGTATGCAATGGATATAAATATGATGAGAATGGGATTCGAACCCATGCCCAGGAAGACCATATGTTGCTGAACGACGTTGAAAGACATCCAACACCCTGATCTCCAGTCTGGCGCCTTGGACCTCTCACCATACATGGCTCAAGAAATCAAATTCAAGCAACACTACTCAGTCATCCAACAATGCCACCACGCCCCTGCCAGATCCTAAACTGCCTAACCACCCAGGTAATCTCCCCCTCCCAATGCGTAATCACCACCACAGCCTGTCCCTCCCAACACCACCACCTTCAGTCTAGTAATGTGTGCATGAGCAGTACGACATGCTGTTCTCCAGGGAAGAGGGACATGAACCGATGAGCTGCGGATTCTCTTTTCGTCTTCAGAGTTCCTGCCATTCCTGGTGTCAATGCACTTGGTCCGAGGGCAGATGGAACCTCCCAGCACTGAGATATTCTCCACTCTTCAATTTCCAGCCTCACTCGGCTCGTTTCCAATCCCAACCTCAAACCCAAATTCGTCATCGCCCACACCCGCCCTCTTGCTTGCTCTAAGCAGTACAAAACCCCCTCCGGAGCCTGTAATGACTGCCTCCCAAAGTATCATGCCTGGATGACAACATGAAAAAGCGCCGAATAGTTTTGGTGAGAAGACGCCAATTAGGGTGTGTAGGTGATCTGTTGGTGTACGTTTCCGTGGGTCGAGACGGTGGCTTCGGTACTGGTGTGTTATTGAGACGATGACGTGGCAGGGGATAGGGAGGGTAGGTGGAGGTGCACTTGCATGTATGACTGTGGTCGCCTGCCAAGAGAGAGAGCGGCGTCGTCTTTCCTGAGCCTGTGAATGACAAATTGATTAGTTAGCATATGTAGTGAGAGGTGAAGGTAAAAGCGACATGCAGCAGAATACAAGGCCGATTCGAATCAAAGCGAGTCAACCAACATGTGGTTTTCGATCAAGTGAATCCCCAAGCTGGGTACAATCCAAATCAAATGAAAGAGGCAAACTCAGCTCTGTGAATTGAAGGAATGGGCAGAAAGGACCAAGGTAAAAACCGTGAAGCTCAGAGTGAACCTCAATTCCTGCGAGACGCGATGAAGACGCGACTGGGTCAAAATCCCCAAGACGAGGTAGAGGGAAGGATACGGAAAGTGGAGAAGAGACATAAACACTTGGCCAGCCTTCTTGAATGGAAGGTCAAACGAAAAGAAAGGAGATCCGGGAAAGAGACGAAGACCCCAGCTAGGAAGAAATGTCATAGTACTCACCATTCGGCCCTTGCAAATGTCACCTTTTGCCTTTGCAGATCTGCCATGTAATATCTTTCAGGACCTGTCACCGCCTTGTCAGCATGTATTTCAACTGCCGAAAGGGTGGAAAGAAAAGAAAATTCCGAAGAAGTAAGAGACGAAAACGGAGGAAAGAAGTCAGGGAAAGGAACGAAAACCCGCGTAAGAGAAAACCTCAAGAAAATGAGGAAGAAAACTCAAGGGAAAAGTATGGAAAAGCATGGTAAAAGAACGACGAAAAAACATGGAAAGAGGGGAAAGCGTGCAATAAAAGAAGTACTCACAGTCCTATCCTTTCAAGTCAACTATCAGCCTCCTCTTATCCCGCGGAGCAGCACCATTCAACAACCTGTCCCTTTTTCGTCCTAGAAGTCTGCAAAGTTCAGAGCGTCCGCGACGTCTCCGTTGTCCCAACCCACTTTTCCACTCCCCTTCTCCTCTGCATAACGCCCCCCTCACTAACATCCCATACATGCATGTTTCAGGCCGGAAGCTCTTCCTGCACGCGCGTCCAGAGCATTATATGCAGGGACCGGGATGCGTGAAGTTCTTCGAGGAAGGCAAGGAGGTAAGAGCGGGAGGTTGGGTGTAGGCCAGCTAGATAAGGGGGAGAGGGTTAGTATTTGTAGGAAAGAAGGGAAGGACACAAGAGAGAGAGTGAAGGAGGGACAAAGGGATGACAAAGGGAGGGAAGTAAGGGAGGAGGTGGGGAGCGGGAAGGGATACGCGAGGGTGAAAACACGACAATTTCGAGGAGAGAACGAAAGAGGGTTGGGGAGTGGGGAAAGTTGCAAAGACAACAGATGAAGGAAAGTCGAGAACTCACTCAACGGCTCATCCGACAAGAGCAACCCAGGGGCTTTCATGACAGCCTTCGCGATCCTGGCCCATTACTCAGCGCAATGAGCAGGATGTCCAATAACTCCGTCAATCCTAGCTTATCTGCCCCACTTGCACTTCGAGCTCTTCCCTATCCAGAAAACTCAAACTATCCCATAAAGTGCATCCATCTTCATCCCTAACAGCCCCATAACACAGCTGTATAATCATAGAAACCCCCTCCGGTCCCTCTCGTTCGAACGCAACGAACCAGAGTCGACGCCCGTCAAATGGGTCGAGTCCACCGAAGAAGGGGTATAGGCTTGGAGAGGGAGGTGGAGGCGATATGTGGTTGTTTCCTAGGAGTGTCGGTTGGTTCGTTGATTAGTTTGAGTTCAAGACAGGAAGGAAATGGAAAGGAATACCTGCAACAAAACGTTCTTCCCGGTTCCACCCCTCAAATTCAAACTTGAGATGGCAGCCCACGCTTCTCCTTCATGGAATGTTATTATTGGTGTGTAGGAGGAGCTGAGTAAGCAGGTGACGACGATAATTTGGAGGGGAAGACGCAGAGGAAGACGCGGCAGGGTGGTGGTATGGGTATCCTTGATTTTGGTGGGAGAGTGGGAGAGAGTTCGCGAAGACGCCAACTCCGATCACTCATGATGCATCCGTGATATTTTTCTCAACTACCAATCCCATACACAACCAGCATCCAGTGTTTCACAACCAGGAGAAGCGCTAGTGCCTACCGTCCGCGATCCTTAGTCCCGAGCAAAAACACTCAGAACGGTGTCCTTCAACTTAAGTTGGTTCGTCAATTTGTTACTTTTTGCATGAAAGATGAACCAAATGTAACGAATACATGCACTTCCAGTAAAAGCGAACGTGCTCATTTTTATCAAGCATCTTGAACTACGCCATGGAGTGCGCGACATTTGACGGCCACTGTCGCAGTCATCAGACTAAAATACTTACCTCGCACAACTTACCACTCGCCTTGCTCAACGTCTCAAATGTAAAGTTCGGCATGGATTCAAGTTCAGTTCATGCGTAACCTGAAGCGCTACCAGCAACAGATCTTGTGCCAATGAGACAGTTGAGGTCAACACTAAACGTAACATTCAAATTGATCACAATTGTTTTATTCTCAATGCTCCAAGTCCAGGGCATTCAGTAGATACGCTATGGAACCATAACAATAGAAATTGACAATTGTCCCAATAAGTCATAGGGCTACCCCAATGGGCCCAATTACAAAAGACATTATGATACTATACATTGGCCCAACAACATGACAATATGTATATTTGATTGTTGGGCCCAACGACGGTGCCACAGTCCAAGCTAAGGGTTTATAGATTGGCCACATGGCTTAAATGGGGGTAATTTT